AATTCGAGCGTTCCGTCGCCGATGACGGAAGTTACGTCGATTTCGTCGAATTTCTGCGAAGTCCTCTTGCGCTTCCTCTTCGTTCAATTTCGCTACAAACGGAGAAGTACGGCGCGATTGCAGAAACATTTTTTGCCGCATTTTTATTGCGATCAGTTGCAAAATCACTGTACATAATTCTTGCAAGTTCTATAACGAATAATTAACACGGTAATATTTCATCGAGCAAGCTTTGTATTCTGTGACAGGCGAAATAGGCGTTATGCATTTTATTCCCCGCTAACGCGTTCGCAGCGCTAATACTTCGAACTCTGATGACGGTGACTATCCGAGAACGTTTCCGATAAATTAAAGTGCACTTCTAATCTTCGCTATCTCGGCGATTGCATCCTCGGATGCATTAAAATCGTAATAAGTGCGCGCGAGCGGCGAGATCGATTCAATTTTACATCCATCGCATCGTCGTCGCGGCGGTATCTCCGTGATAATGAAAGAGGAAGCGCGGCTGATGAAGCCGCGATATTAATTTCTATATTACTTCCGCGCCGCGAGCGAGGAAAGAAATCCCGGTGTGGAAGGCGCAGAGGAGAGCGAAGCGGATAATGCACGCCGACTTTCCTCGCGCTTCCTACTCTCATGAATTATGCGAGAGTTTTATTTCGAGGTGCCGCGAGACACGACCTCGTATACGACGCGCCCGCCGCCGCCGCCGCTCATCGATTAAGCGTCCTACCGGTTTTCCGGACGGTCTTACCCACGTGACTTAACGGTTCGACCACCGAGGGCTCGGTCACAATGAGGTTCGTACGTAGCCGGAGGACCGGTTACTCGATTCTCGGTACATAATTCAGCGTCGGGTTTTTTGTGAAACGGGACGGGCACCAACACAGGTGTGATTTTATTTTAGCTTCCAGGGTCCTTGCGTGTTTATTATTAGTTCGGGTTTATTAAATAATTTTATACCGATGTGTGCATTAATTGCGAACTCGCAATATTTATATAATGATGTGTTTATTTAACATTTATTTCGTATTTTTCTGTTACTGGTAAAAATACAAGTTTATTGTTAAAACGGTACACTTATCACTAATGCGTGTAATAATTTGGAATTTATCGAGCGGACGGCATCTAACATTAAACTCGCTTACACATTTTCTCGCACCTTCGTCTTATTAACGCAATCAGATTATTTCGCAAACTTTATTTTCGGAGATAGCGCGATTAATTCTGTTACATTCTGATGAATCATATCTCGCTTACGAGATTGTACTTTTTTTTTTCATTAACCGCTGTTGTGATGACCCTGAAATGAGCGAGCGAGCGAGCCCGCCGGGGCGTGACGCAAATCTAATTTTCGTTGATTGACGCAAAGCGAGTGCAGTGGGGCGTGATAAATCGCGATGGGCCCGTTGCGATTAAAACGCAGGGGTCCGCGCGCGTACCGGCGAGCTCTGACAAATCAGTTTTCACGCGGTGAAAAAACGAGCCCGAATTATCCGACAGCCTAACAGAAGAGGACTGCCGTCCTCGCGGCAGTTACGTCGATACGCGGCACAATCGGTGTCATTTTGCGGCTCGAGGCGCGGCAGCTCGCCGGGACAAATAGAAAAACGTGGAATAACGAACGGTTGTTCCAGTTGCGCGCGGTATCGACGTAAAAGGCCGCATTTGTCTCTATTTAACGTGCCATCGACTACGCAGAAACAAACGCTTTATACTTGCTACCACCATCGCCGGCGCGTGTAACGCGAGAACGTTGAATGAGTCACTTGACGAGTCGCGACGACGATCGTAGTGGACAGAAATTCCGCGGACGCAACGCTGCGTTTCGGCGAAGCCGAAGCAGTTGTGTATCGCGTGCTCTTCTCGCGTGTACGTACGTCCGTGCGCCAATTCCCGCATCCGAACCCCAACACGCGTGTGCGAAGCGCGTCTTGCTAATTTGAACGGAGAAAGGCACGAGATTGCGCGGAGCGGACGAGGATGGACAACAAGCGCGTGAGTCACGCCGTGTGCGTTTCTCAACGCGTTGTCATCGTCAGGGACATGGATCGTTTCTTTTTTTCCGCTTGTAATCCGATATACAAGCGTTCATCTCTAATTTCAAACGTTCTAAATAAATAAATAATTTCAAGGATGTTTCGCCGCAATGGAATGAAATTCACTTCAAAATTGCGAATCATACTTGATAATTGTATTCGATGATTATTTGAAAAGAAGCGAAACATTTTTCTACCAAGAAATAATAATTGTAGGATTGAATCCAAAAATGTCAAATTTTGTAAAATTTAAAGATGAAATATATTATTAAATATTTAATTGAAAGAAACCTACTGATGCGAAATGAACATATTTTGAGTAACCTTAATTTTTTCGAAAATGCAGTAATTTAATTTTTTGACCCACAAAACGGCAATTTTACAAGAAAGGATCCGATGATTGATAGATTTTCGATCATCTTTTAAAATTACGTTTGCTCGTTTTTAGCACACGCAGCAAATCTGTTCTCTATAAATGAAGCTCTGACAATCAGTGTTTGCGTAAATCTCTAACTTCGATTAAGACAATAATAATGAGCTTATTAATTGTAGATAAAAATTATCGTTGTGGATTCTCGGAATCTTGATGCATTCTCGCTGAATCCCCGATGAATTATTGCACTGATAAATCGCATAAAAGAACACTTAATAAAACGCACCGATTCGCCTCATTTGTTTTCACTCGATCTTAGGTCATTCCACCGTGCTTTATCTCGCCACCAGCGCGATATCGTATGAGTAGGCGTGATACACAACGACGAGAAAAGTATAAAACAAACATCATTTGCAGCGATGTTACTTGAAATGAAAAAAAGAACTCGTGGTTTACTTTGCCATTTTCTTTCTCCGATTCCTACATTTATTCATCGTCGAATGAAAAGAGCTTCCTGCGCAAAAAATAAATGAAGGTATATGAAAGCTCGATACTGGGTTTTTTTTTTCTCTTGTGCGCCGTGATTGAAAGAAATGCGCCTACTAGTTAGGAAAATTACAGTCACGATCTTCATTAGAACGGCAAGAGAGAGAGAGAGGAGAGGCGCAGGTAGACGACAATGCAAAGAAATCCTGGAAAATCGGTCGCCCGCACTGTACCGTAATTAAAAGGGTCTTTGAGAGCATAGAAAGCGGGGAGTAGCCGGGTCACTTTTTTCCGCTACTCTTTCATCCCTCAAGAGACGAAAATATACATGACGGCGCGCAGTTTCAGAGGCGGATGCCGCTGGAAATAAGACGCGGAAAAGTTTTCGGAGGAAAAAAGCGAGAGAGAAGAGAGAGACGCGCGCTTGCGTCGCCGAAACGGGAGACACACTAATCGCGTGCACTACTTCCGGGCTTCCTCTTATAACGAAGCCTCCTTCTCGGCGCTGCTCCGCTTTTGAAAGGAAATTTCCATGCGAGACGCAGCTAACAAAGCACCGGGAGAGTAATGCCGTGTCCCGTAACGTTAATCAGCTAGCAATTTTCTTTTTATCTTTCACGTAATTGCATGGGTGAAAGAAAAAATACTATCGGGAGGATTAGGAAAGCTTTTAATTATATTCTTTGAAATCTTCTCTCAAGAAAGAAATTTTTTTGCGCGAAATAACGGTTTGTTTTGCTGGATTTGATTATTAAAAGAATATTGAAATATTCTATATCGTAAATATTAATGTTACAATATTATGAATAATTAGTGTTATATTACGTGACGTATCAATATTACATTTTATTGAAGCAATCAGCTCTTCAACGCTTATTTGATTCCCGCTTATTTTCACAAGAATACAAATATTTGTACAATACGTAGAAAAATCATTTATAATCTAATAATTATCTCATTAAAGCAAAAGTTTTTCAGGTTTGAAGATCATGACACACGTTATTTTCATTCTCAGCTCTTCGCACAGCTGTCGAGAGATTTAAAGGGAAATTATGTCGTGACATTTCTCTTCGAAGTAAAATAGACCAGTAATGGCTTTGCATTGTATTAATACAGTACAGAATACTTGGAGAGCATCGCGTTCTATCGAGTGCGTGCATGCGTGCGTACGTGCGTGCGTGCGTGCGTGCTTGCGAGTGAACGTGCATTCTGACCCGATGCGTCGTGTCGGGGCTGCCATCGCGTTCGTTCACTCTTTATAAATAGAAGCTTTAAATTCTGTCGCGACTCGGGCGTGGCAAGAGAGAGATCTACGATGATCCTAGTCACGAAATGCACGTATACATCATTCATCGCGGCCCGCTCGTTCTTTTTCCCGCGAAACGTGAGCGCGTCGCCGGTAATTCTCTTTCATCTTGTTATTTCACACAACATTCCTGGTTCTCCCGCTGAGATATCTCGTTAGTCGCTTAGTGGCGTGGTAGCGTTTTACGTGATCAACAGGTAATTAATAAAAAAAATATTTTCTTTTCCTTTTTATTTTTTTAATCTCCGAAATCCATTAAAAATGTTATTCTAGACATGTATTTTGTTTAAGAATCTTGTTTATATTTCGTGAATGATAATACTTTTATTTTAGTCCGAAGTACGTACATAATTTTATCACATTCGATAATATATTAATTGAGGAATAAAAGTTAAATAAAAAGAAAACTTGTTTCACAGTTGCTGACTTTATGATCTTTACGATATTCCGTGTTTCGCTTAAGTATCGATCAAGCGGCGAAAGCGCCTTTACGGAGACGGGCTGGCTGACTTAACATCGAATCGAGCGGCGCCGAATTGGCACATTTGAAATTTAAGCCAAGCATAAATTCCGAGGAAAGCTCTCTGTCGCGCTTATCGCTGTTGCATAAATCAGGCGGGATTCGCAGAACGAGTAGGTAGTAAAGTTCGCGCGAAGCATGATCGGTACACAAGTAGGATATTATTCATTGACCCGCTCTGACCCCGACACACTCGCATCGTTTCTACGCAGTTATCTTTGTTATTTCTCAGTCGTGTCCTTTCGATTCTAAACAGGCGTCATCTCTTTGTTGCAGATACTTAGCGCGCGTGTGTCCGAACCGCGACTGACATGCCGTTTCTTTCATAAGGTAAGATATGGATCATTTTTCATTATTATCAGCTGACGTAACTCTCTTAATCCTGTGCTGAGAAAAACGGGAGAAAAATGAGAAAATGTCTCTTTATTAATTTTCATTCGATTTTTCTTTTCTGTCTATAACTGTCAAGATTTATTAACCCGCTAATTATTTTTGATACTTTTCAATTTTATTAAAATATTTGTTTTGTGAATTTGAAACATCATTCTCTCTCTGCTGACTGTATAACTTTTTATTTCTCGTCTTACAGTTTCCTTTATAATGTGCAATTTGGCTCTGCTATGATTAAACAAATATCTTTATGGAATTATACGTTAAATTCTAATTATTTGATAGCTTATCGAGCGATCGTCGAGTGAGACTTAGAGCCGAGCAATCCGCAGAAATTTTTTGGAATACGGAAACAAAGATACGCGGCGGGTAAAAAGTTTGCCGTTTGTAAAGGAGCTCGCGTTGTCCGCCGAAATGCAAGCGAAATGCTTTGTCGTGCGCCAAAAGCCACGTTATATCGCATTCCGTGATGAGGCGGAGGGGGAGAGGATTGATGGCTCGTCGTCGCGGATGGTCGCTCGACTATAATTGTTCCGGGAAACCGGAAGCACGTAATTACGCCACGTATCGAATGGAAAATTGTGCGCCGCTGTTCGACAGCGTCTGTACACATTCCGGGATGCATGCCGCCCGTACTTTTGCAGCAATTCCAGCCGTATGCAAATTCCATTTAAAGACCGAAAAAAAAGTTTTTGCGTTTATTGAAGCGATTATAGCGGTAATGCTTGACACGCGAGGGGATATGGATTATTTCTCAAAATAGCTGCGCTTTAAAGCACAGTAAAAGCCAAATACGTTATTTCCTTCACTTACGAGTAAATGAAATATATTTTCATAAATTCTTTGCGCGCGCGCGTTAAAAACCAATGAAAATTAATTTATCAAGAAATATATTTCATGACAAACCGAATAAAACGAAGTCAACATTAGATAAGAAGCTTAACGAGGTGTTGGTAATAGCGTAGCAAGTCTGCGTGCTTACTTGTTGCAAAGCTGGCTTACGACTTTTCAATGAAATGCACAAAATCAGCTTAGACCTGCGAAACGTATGAATTTTTTGACCGAATTCTCGATTATTTTTATTAAAGCCAGAAAAATACGTCGACTGCATTTTTGCGTGTGAATTTGTACGCGCGGCGCATCACATGTGCAAGCGTAGGTATTAATTCTGAGTAAGCGCGTCATCTTAGCACAGTAGCCGTGCCAAGGTTACGACGGCTTCTATTGATAAAACTATTTCATAACGCGATCAATTTCACGAGACTGCCGTCCTCTCGGAGATTGCCGTTCTCCAAAATTAAACTCGGTAACTCGAGATCTGATAATTTCTACAACACACATGATTAAATGCAAAGTAATTTTTATTATACATTACGTCGATTACATTTGCACAAAATTGATTCAATGAAATCATTAATTAGTAAAATTAGCGATTTACATGTGTAATTATTAAGCAGTCAATAATTATTATCGATTGTAATTGTTATCGATTATCGCTTAATTCATTATTTTAGTCATTAAATAATTTCATCTTTAATTTTGACAATGTGACAAATTAGTGAAATATTAATAAACATATTAATGTTTCCTTATAAATTTTATTTACCGATTAATTACAATAATTGTTCTTCGATGGCACTTTTAGATTTATCAGTTTCCTAAATTTCTCAGAAATCAAGATAGCAATAAAATCCGGGAATCTTCTTGCTAAAACAACTGTTTATGCACAATTTCGTTGATATCGCATTATAACGCCGTCATTGCCGCGGAACGACGGCAATGACGGCGACACTTTAATAAGAACCGGCAGCGCTAATTCCACTCTCGGCGGGCCTCCCCGTGCACTTTCCGGCAGTGATGCGGAGCGGAGCTCCGTCGTCATCGCCGTCGTCGTCGTCGTCAGCTGTGCGAAGGTCAGGGTCGCGCGCGCCGCCAGCCGAGAGGGTGCAATCGATGCACCGCCGCCGCCGCTCCGCTCAGCCCCTCGCCGGATGCAGTTACCATGGCGACCATCTCTCCTGACCCCCATTGCGTGGAAGAGCGAGCGGCCCCGACACACGGAGAGAGACCGGGGATCGAGTATCAATCCCTCGTTTGTGTGTTGGCCGCGAGAGCGAGAGAGAGCGAGAGAGAGAGAGAGAGACGGCGGCGGCGGTGCGTTTCAATGCATTCCTCATCTCTTCTCGTTCTTCTTCTCGTCTGCGATTCATTAAAGGCGACATTCCGCACGAGGAATTTCTTCCGCGTGCCTCTTCCGCGTCCGGGCGCGATCTTCTTTGGGAAAAAGATTGCGATGCGCGAACTTAATTTCCGTGCTGTGTGAGAAGAATACGCGTACATAATTGTGTCCCTGAAATGAAGTTCCTTGTGAGTTAATTAAACGTCGTTGCGTGTTGCGCTGTGATAAACGCCGCTGTTAATCCGTGGGCGAACAGTGGACGAGATAAGTAAAATAACACAGAGAGATAGAAACGTTTATTGCAATTGGAATGACATTTCGAACCGCTGTGCTGACGTCATAAATAAAATGGAATAAATAAAATGGATAATGAATGGTAAAGCTCTGAAACGTCGAATTAACTCAATATTAATGAATCACGATCTAATTTCAAGAACAATTAAAATTGAAATGAATAAAATCCCGGGGAACAATGTGGCAATTATTTAATTGCTTCGCGTTTAAAAAAAAAAATTCCTCTCCTCTTTGCTCGACGCTCATTAAAATCGATTTACAATCTACTTTAACGTTCGACCATATCGTGGAAATGAATTATGGACGAGGAGCATCATTCGCATTAAATTAAATCGCGTAAGGTCGGCCCCTGGAGACGAAAGTAAGGTCAGCTGATAGAAATCAATATCCTCCGAAATTGTGCCGACGTAGTGCCAACACCACCGCGTCTTCGTACCTGAAACAATTCCACTCGCACAAAGTCAAGCGAACCGAACAAATAGAAATTTTTTTCGTCGTATTGGGAAATTGAATTTGTCGAAGAGTTGGAAAGAGGAGATCTAGCGGAAAGAGAGAGAAAGATGGACGGCTGGAAGAGCTGGAAAGGGTCGGAGAATTCGTTTCTCTCAGCATGGTATCAACGAGTGAGAGAGTCCTACATCGCAGCGTGGTTCTTCGGGGTGTTTCAGAGCAGCGGGACAATGTCGACGAGCACCGCTCCCGGAGGCGGCGGTGGAGGCGTCGGCGGTGCCCTCAGCCTGATGGGCTGCGTGAGGGAGGCCTCGCCGCCCCCGCAGAACCATCATCAGCATCATCATCATCATCATCATCAGCAGCAGCAGCAGCATCGCGCCTTCGGCCTCGGCGAGTTTCCGGCGGCCCAGCACAGCGTCGATCCTCTGCCCAAAGGTGAGCACTTGAACACTTTTACATATATAATACGAGCAATGTTTGGCAGATTGACAGCAAATTGGATCGAAATCGATTAAACGTCTTGTCAGTCTGTCAACGTTGCTAGCATTTTGGTTTACTGGCTTGTCAGCCTACTTTGACTTCTCGCATCTTTAGGTTCTTCTGCGAAAAGTTAGGGCGATTATTAGAGTGTAATAGATATTATATATTTAAAAATTTTGTGATACCATCAAACTTTTCTTATCAGAATTTTTAATTCTTTATATGTGTTCTTGAAATTGATGAAAGTTTCTCATTTTTGTGCTTAAATATCTAGAAACAAAGAGAGACGAAAATGTTCTGACAACCGATTTGATCTTAATATTATTAAAGTTTATTTTGTTAATATGAATATTTGTTAATATGAATATTTGTATCAGAAATGTGAATAATGAATATAAGGGATAATCACGGGACGTCGACCATACGTTGCATTATTCACATTCTCCTGGGAATCGTCGCATCTTATCGAATTCTAAGAAATAGTAGAAATGCGACGCTCGCGGCGACAGTCTAGACACGCCGTCGGAAAAACTGCGTTTCCTCCTTCTCGGCTCGTTCAAGATCGAGACACGCGACGTTCTCCAAGCGTACATTACATCAAGTTTGAGTAAACGAGGCATATGATGAAACACTGATTTGTCGAACGCCGCGCGGAACGTAATCGATTCCTTATAAAAATCCGCGATGCATCGCAAATATTCAAAAATATAAAATAATTTTTCTCTAATTAAACATATTTTATATATTTGTATTGTACTTTGATATAATTTATCTTTTTTGAGTTTTTATAATCTAATTTATAATTGCATTTGATAAATTAAATCAGATTTTATATATTCATTATAAACTTAAAAAATAATTCAAACAGAATCGAGATGTTATTTTCTTTTATATTCTTCATGTATTATTTAGTAAAGTTTAGAATTGTTTTATCTCTGAAACAAGAAACGAATCATTAATTTTAACGCCACGATTTTCCACGTACTTGCTCAAGTTAGCATCACGTTACAGTATCGTCTGCAATTCGTAATACTATACGAATGCGAGGACTTCTTCGCACGTCGAGAATGGTAAATCGAGGACGTTAGTAAGAAGCGCGGACGTTTAATTAAGAGCGGACGGAGATTAAGATGATGGCAATTATGATTGTGACAGACAGCGGGCTATGATTTTCCTCTTATTTTTTTTTTATACAATACGCTTGCGACTATTGTTCGAAAGAAACGTAACCGCGTTGTGTGTCATTACGGATGAGTTTCCGGGTCGGAACAACGACCTCTCTGTCATTCGATTAATTCCCGCTAAATTGCGAAGCTCGACAACCGGAGAAATTTACTCGCGAATTAATTTCTTAATCAAGAATTAGCGGAGAAACTTGAATCCTCAATCAACTGACGTTTCAGAATTCTCATTGTTTTAACCGAAATTCTTTCGTTGCTAATGCATTAACTTTCCAGGATTCTAGCTTCAACTTTTCTCATTTAAAATGTAATTCCTCACTTTCTTTATTAAATCAGAATTCCGTTGAAAATACATTGAATATTAATAAGAAAAACCTAATTTAATTTGTAGCTCCAAACACTTGTTTTACCACAATTGTTCCTAATTCGTTCATTAAATTCAATTTCAAGAATTAGTAGAACAAAGGTAAAGATAAAATATTTTCAATGTTCTAACTTTTCAAAGTGTATTGTACAAACTTATTATATAACGTATTTACAATATTATGCAAAAAATTGCGATAATAATTTGCACCGCAAATAATTTTCTTTCACGCGCGTATCTCATTTTTATGTATAGAGGCTTTCTGCAGCTTGAATGACAGGAATATCCGAAGCGTACTGCATTATTTTCTCGATATATCGTACAAACAGATGTTCTCGTTACATGCGATGGACAGCCGTGAGCGAGCGACTCGGGCGTAGCATTATTTTTCGCGCTCCACCGGTGCCGCGGCCGCGCCGTCGGAGCGTGAAAAATGCGCTCGTACAGAGAGTGTCAAGTACACAGTAAAGATCACCCCCGATCAAGCGTTCATTCCTCTCCCCTGGTCTCGTTAGAGTCGCGTGTCATAGGTCGGTGTTTAATGGGATCGGACACCATGGTAGATCGACTTTAAACGCAGCATCATGCTCGATATCGAGCACGAAAATGGTGGGAGATCGGCTTTAAATGTATAACATCATCGCACGCTGTAATTGAGTATGCAATAATAGATTGGAATAGATTGACTTTAAATATTGAACATTGCGTTTTCACGGAATGCGTCAAATTGAACAAATATCGGATTTTTTCAAAAGCGCAGATAATTAAATACAACTAATTGGCACGGGCTTTAATTAGATCGTCTCCATTGTTGTATCGTAAATTTATCGAAACGCTGCGCTATAATTAAATTACTCTTATAGTTTCGAGCAGTGTCAATCGCCCCGTAATTTTCGATTTAATTCATTGCTCTTCTTTATTACATTTATTTTAATCTTGTTTTACTTTTATCGTGATTATTTATTTCAACGTCGCTTCCGTGAAGTGCGAGTCTGCATTTTTCGACGACAACGACCGCACGCTCGGTTCTCTGACCTGCTGTACCTCGTCGGCAAGCCTGCCCCGAAAATCTCGATTTTGATCGTCGACGGCATCTTGCGATTTTCTCGACGAATATCGACAGATGCGTCATCTTGAGCAAACAAAGTTAGTCTGTCGACGAGGAAGAAAAACGGAGACGGGTCAGGGAGGGGTACGATAGAGAGAGAGAGCAGGGACCATTAGAGAGAGATCGAACATCGGCGTGACACTCGTACCTTATAAGGAGACTCTCCCCGGTTCGCGATGTGTCGATAGAGTTATCGGAAGGCCGGAGTTTCTAATCTTATCGTGTTCCACGACCGTTCCCGTGTAATGTCATGCATTATCAAATCCGTAAAGTCAGTCAGGTGTGTACGATGGAAACGCAATACGCGATTGCCACTTCGAAATTCGTGGAAGATGCCTTCGCTCGAGTCTCTCGTTGACTATCTGGGTAATTGTTCCTCGTTTGCCGTCGTTTGCATAAAATTTACATTTAACAATACATATTGCCAAATACGATTGATAATGCAAGTTATTTACAATGGTTATTTTTCACTTTGCTTACGATTCATTATTAATATAGCTTCTAATTATTGTGGGATTGTGTTGAATTTTTATCAACTTTGCGAATTAAGATAATTGGGAAGGGAGAAATTTAATTAACCCCTTTGGGACGTCCTTTGTGCTTGCAGAACCAAAGAAGCGCCGTTTTCATCCTCTGCGCGGTCTCCGGAAAATTTTCCGACGGAAAAGCCGCGGCGCTGCTGATGCGCGCCTTGTTTCCAATTCGGGCGATCGGGATGCCGAATTGGCGCGCCTCCCGCGGGAGGATGTTACAATGAGGCATCCTGCAGGACGTCCCGAGGAAGCTCGCAGCAGGAGCGCGAGCGAACTGCTCACCGATTCCTGCGACCGGGAAAGGTAGGAGAAGTCATTCTAATAATATTGATTGTGAAAATAATTGTTTAAAGCGTATTTATTATTAAGTAATTATTGGAAGAATAATTTTCTTCCTTAAAAAAAAACGTTTCCTTGTATTTTAGTTGCTATCGCAGAAATTAAATATTCTTTAGAATATATTAAAATAATTATCGAAAATCTTAAAATAGACGTATTCTTTAATCGTGAATATTATTTTATTTAAAACATATTAAAAATAATTAATACTACGAGCCTTTATATATATATATATATTTATTTATTTTTTATTTCAACTCTTCCTTGTAAGATAAAGATTATTTTAGATTAGCGCAGATTTTTTTTATGCAGATCTTTCAATAGATTAAGCGGTATATCAGAATGTTATGTCAAAATACATTTATCAAAATGCTAATATTTGCGGCAATGCGCAATCTATGTTACCTTTTTCAGTGGACGACACATTCGATCGTCAAAAAGGCTCGGTTTCGCGTCTTTCAAGACACGCAGATCATTTAAATAGTAAATATCGAGATTTTTGTTGTCGTTTGTAAATCGTCGAGTTGTATATATTACTCGCTTAAATTTTGGAGCAGCACCTCTGAAAATTGTGTAATAACAAACATCGGTAATTGCGCTTGTTATGCTTGCCGAGTATTAGCTATTGATTATAATTAGCTAGTCGATCCATAATACGCTTGAATTATGAAACAACCTTGAAATGTGTAGCTGTGGAGTAACGCATTTGCCTTTGTCCAAGTTAGCAAATTTAATATTAGTTTTGAGATAATCTTATCGCAATGGAATTAGAACATAATTAAGATATAGATAATATATGATATTTCTTACTGATAATAAGTTATTAGTTATTGCTTTTGACAAAAATCCTTTTTTTCCGCCATTTATATATTTGTAATATTTTTCAAATATTTTATCCTTTATTTTATTATTGTTTTTATATCATTTTCTTTGAAAGATAATTAATAATAATAAATATTACTTCTATTAAACGAAGTATGGAACGAAGTATGGAATGGTTTTATATTTTTCGAAGCACGAACCGCAAGTGTAGCATTCAGTTTGTTATCAATTTACATTACAATCCTTGGCCTCGTTTTCTCGTTCAGTTTTTTTTTATTTCTGTCCTCGCAGTATCTCGTAGTTTACTACGTAGTAGCACGAAACTTGAGGGCGTTTCGCGTGCGTCTGTGTGATTTACGTGGGACGATGTGTAATGTCGCATCTCAATAGTACAACGACGACGCAGTTTGTTTTTGCTCGAGCGATCTCGTCCAAGATCACAAAAAGCCGCATAAGTGTCCGGCATTGTTAACACGTTCTTCGCAATGTTCTTAGCAAATCACTTATCACTGTAATTAACGACAGCAAAGTTCAAATCAATGTCGACCGTCATGCAGTAGCTTTTCCTCTCAGTTTTTCGCAATAAATTTAGAGCAATTATCATAGGAGATCGGAAATATATATACATATTTAAGGGGATCCTAAAGTGGTCTGTTTTACCTATTTTTTCAAATACACTTAACTTTTTTTTGGCTGTGTAGAATGAAAAGTCCTTTTCTGTAAGTAAAGTACATATGCTAATACACTACGGATGGTCGATTTGAAAGGATTTTTCAAGCCAAAAAAAACGAATTTTACGAAAAGTAGAAGGTAAAACAGATACGTCTCTGTTTTACCTTCTATTTTCATAAAATTCGT